GTAACTCTGTTCATCCAAAACGGGGGGAAGGAAAGTTTACTGTGTCTTCATTTAGCCGCCGAAATCAATTCCACTCCATCTGCAGAAGTGCCCAAGAGCCAGGAAACTGGGAACAAATTCAGCGTGTGTTGTGAATCTTGCACATATATCTTGGGAATCAATGGTTTAACACCGCTTCAAAAAGAACCGGCGTCTCCCGAGGTTGGCGACAAGCTCTAGTTTTGGTTTTCCTTCTAGGTCTCATCTTGCCTTTGTCCTCTGAGACAGACCAAAACATTCTGCTTACGAGCGAGGTATGTGCTTGTGAGACACCAACCCTGTTAACATTTTCCGTGTGAGATTTTTACCAAAGAGAACAACTGACGCTATCCCTGGCAGCTCTTGCGATGTGCTCAAATCCGAAACTGAGCGTCAAATACGCACGTGTGAGCTCTGGATAAGCACCAGCACCTGCTGCACGTGCTGAGACAGCTCACCCTGCTCGTGGATTATAGGAAAAGGAAAAAACCCTTGAATTTCAATGACAAAAGGGTAGATGCTAAAGCCCTAACTGGAGAGCTGCTGGCACCTCATAAAGTTCTCAAGACAGGCGAGCATTTCCAAGGCAAGGTCTCATAGCCACGCCACTAGAGAGGCAGCACCGCCCGGGTTCCGTGCAAGGCCGCCTCAAAATCTATCGAAGCAGAACAGCACATTCAAGTAGTGGCAGCGGCAGCCCTGGCAGGGATGGTACAAGAGGGAATGCTCCAAACCCTGGAGCTCCGGGAACGAGGGCTCGCCTGCTGACGACAGGGCCATGCACAGCACTACCCTGACCCGGCAAGGAAGTCTGCCGCGTTGCTGCAGCCTAGATGCACGTAGCCGACTTCCAACGGTGCTGCAGCAGGAACTGGTCAACTCCATAAAGAAAAGTAATTTTCTGGGAGTAACAGTGAGCACTCTCACGGCTCCAGCAGAGAGCTGTGAGCTCAGCCATGAAGGCCTAGCCACAGCAACTTGCTGGGGAAAAAACAAACAAAAAAAAAACAAAAAGGGAAAAGGGAAAAGAAAGCACAAACATGAAAGAGGTTGGCAAGGACAGAAAGAGTTCTGGACCAAAAAAGAGATGGAGAAGAGGTTCCTGGGCAGCTGGCTGCACTATTTGGATTTACAATGCCATTCTAGTGAGGAATCCAAAGGAAAGGCAGGAACAGGATTCCCTTCATTTGGCACACATCAGCATGTTCCCTCCAAGCCCCCGGCGATTCAGGCATGCCCTCCTGGCAGACGCCTTTAACGTGGGCTTTGAAACTCTTGCCTGTAAACCCTCTCCTAGTGGCACCCGCTAAGCTCTTTCCAGTCTTTCCCGACATCCCGCGATGACCACAGCAGAGAGCCAGGACTTGTCTTTCTGGTTCACACAATACCTGGTTTCACACACTACCTCAAAGAACTTCTACTTTTTCAACTGGTCACGTACTACCTAAGGACTGATGACACTGACAGTCTTGAGAGCAGAGCGGCAGAATCCAGGCAGGCCTCAGGGAGCTCTTCTGTACAATTTTCTCCATTTTTCCCTGTTTTAGGAAGCCTACGTCACACAGCAGGGAGCTTCGGTTCATACCATTTGCTCTGAGATGCAAGGGACCTCCCCAAGCGCTGTGGTGATGCTGCTCCAACAGGGCCTCAGGAGACATTCAGGCTGTGGCTGTTGTGGGAAAAAAGCACGCAGCAGGAAGGGAAAAGCCTCCTCGTACATAAGTCCTTGATTTTCCTTGGTGCAGCTCTCCCTCAAGAAAAAGCCACCATGAACACAACACCCTGCTCAAGCAGGGTGTTTCCACTTTGCCAGACTAGTATTCCATGCAATCCAAACTGCTGCCAGCGAAAATATGTGAACCCTTGCCTCTTTCCACCCTGCGCCTTCAAGTAACACAGCAAGCTGCCCTTCGGCCAACATCACCACATGCCTCACAACGCATTCCCATGCACAATGCTGGTTGTCAGCGCTCATCTACTGGCGTGCAAGGCCGGCACTGCGCAAGCCCCAGAGCCTGCCAACACCTACCCAGGCAGCTCCCAGTAACGTTTCACACCATGTCTAAGTGAAAAGATTCCACTGGCACCAGGCAGCTGGTATGCACATGGAGCTCGGCTCCTTCTCTGTTCTCAAGAGCCGATGCAGAGCAGTGTCTGAGCGTGGCAGCACTTAGAGCAGCCCCCGCAAGTTCCTGCACGGGCTTGGTCTTCTGCAGCACCTCGCCTCGTGCTCTAGGCCTCCCTCTTCCCAGAGGCTCCTCCCTTCACCAGAACAGAACACAGGCATCTCTCAGCACTCTCTGATCCAGAGAGCATTCCCAGTGCAGCTCACACTGCTGATGGCCCACGAATACCTTGTCCCACAGCGCGTCACACCTCAGTCAGGGCACGGCGCCTGCACCTGGCAGAAATGCTGCTGACCGGGCTGCCAGGGACTGCACCCTTCTCCCTCCTGAGAGGGTCAGAGAGGGCTGCTGTCCACACCTCTGGGAAAGAGGGCTCTCCTGGTGCTTTCCCAAAGGTGAAACGTGGGGCTGTCACACAGGCGGTCCCATCCCTTTCCAGCAGGGCTCCGATGAAGCTAAGCTGAATGTGCTTCTGCAGCTCTGGGCCCCGCAGGCCCTTGCGCAGGCCAGCTGCATTTCTTGAAGGAGCACATGGGGTCACAACCATCAGAGATGGCGGGGAGCAGCCTAAGCCCCAGCTTTTCCAGACCTCTGCTGCCCACACAGTGCGATGCACGGGGCATATCTTCCCTCAACCAACGCTGGAAGAAACCGGACTGTAGGTCTCAGACACTGTGGAGCGGGAAGAGACAAGAAAAGGTCTTTCTGCCTTGCCTCTCCCTCCTTCAGTTCCCACCTGGTGGCGTGCTGTTGCCAGCTTTAGGCTTGGGTTTTGACCTGATGGAGAAGCACTTGATGAGGCGGCAGGAGAAGCTGCCAGCTTTTGTCCTCGCGGCAGAGCTGATGCTGATGTTAGACAGGTCATCATGCGACTGACTCAGGCCCGCTTCCTTCTGCTTGCTCCTTCTGCGGAAGATGAGCTTGGTGCCGCTCCGGAGAAAGCCAACTGCAGCGACAGAGGCAGAAGGTCAGGGAGCGAGTTACAAGTTCTGTAAGGAGGCAGGTCAGGGAACAAGTTACAAGTTCCATAACTTCATAGCATGCTACGAGTGCCAGGGCTGCAAGCAGAGATATCCAAGGCATATGGCCTGCCTAAGTGACAGTCGCTAGCACAGACAGTCTAGAGCAAGACCTCAAACCCTTGGATGTGAGGGCGATCTGGCTGCGACATCTGTCACCCCATTGATGCCAGGGTTGATTCGACTGATCTGGCTGGCTAGACAGGTGTCCCTTCCTCCCTCAGCGCTCCATGTGCATCCCTCCCGAAGCTGCACACTCCGGTGAAGAGGATGACCTTCCTCGATATAGACGTACCGTTCATCGGTCAAGGGTATACGGTACCTGCGCTCCCCTGCTAGAACCTCCAAACAAGCTCAAGCGGGGCACACCTGCTCTACTCCTTACAGATGTATGGAACAGGGACATCCTACGGCCTTGCGGGACAGAGGGGCTGGCTATTGGGACGCTAACAAAGGCTGCAGTGAAAAAAAGAAGGCGGGCGCTTACACCTGCACCATCCACTTGGTTCAACATCCTGTTCTGTGCCCGTGCAGCAGAATTCAGGAAAGGGGAGAATCCTTCTTCCAAGATGTAAGCATACATGCCTGATCAGCGCATCAGAGGCCCGAGAGTCCAAATAGCTTTCTGGGAACATGCAAACTGTAAAAAGCCCCATCTGATGGGCCACAGAAATCTTCTGACCCTCAAGTAAGTGGACACCCTCAAATAGAGATGTCTGGGACCATCCCAAAGGGGACAGCAAGAGCAAGACAGGCTCTTCCTGGACTCAACTGCAGGCCACCATCACTGAGCCAAAACGTGGAGAAGACGCAGACTCAGGCAGCCCACTCAGCCAGCACTTCACCCACAAGCACAACATGCTGACGTGTGTTATCGCCCAATAGCTCATCCTCACCTTTGTGATTTTTCAAGCTCCTGGTCTCCAGAGCTCCCGTGGAGCCCGTTTCAGACTCAACATCTTCCACCGATGGCCTCTCTGGGATGTCCGATTGCGTCGTCTCATCCAGATCCTGGCTGGTCCTTTGTCCTGACAGCGATGCTTCCAACAGCTGGGATGATTCGGTAGGACTGTGACCCAGGTCATCTGCACCTGCTGCTACAGGATCCCCATACGCTGCGGCCATAATCCAGCAGCATAACCCAGAGAAAGGGCCATTTCATCTTGGGCAATGGGTACCTGGAAGGGGTTCAAGGGCAAACAAAAGGAAGCCAGGGCCTCAAGGAGCAAATTCATCCACTTTTTCCATCCACACCTACGGATGGATTGTCCTGTTCAGCTCCTCAGGGCTAAAAAGCACGGAGGCACAGCCTCTCCTGTTGTGTGGAAGCATCCTGGAACGTACCAGATTCCAGTCTCCCACATCTGCTCCCTCGCTCCCATCGGCAAGCCCCACAATAATTCCTTAGACTCTCTACAGCTGTACTGCAGAAGAGCCGAGTACCTTTGCCACCCACCGGGAGGCAGCGACAAGCAGCAGAGAAGCAGCAGAATGATTCTGCAGAGCAAGTCATCTGGGCTTGGCCACGCCTGCCCAACGCTGCTCCTGATGGCAAGGGCTGCTTTCAGCAGCGCATCCTTAGAGACAACAGCCCAGACCGGAGATGGAGCTCCCACAGTGCCAGTTACTTTGGAAAGTCCTGAGATGATTAGCGTGCTCCGTCTTGTTGGGTTCTTCTTGGCAGGCTTGTTATTTGCCTCGGTCAGCTGCCAGATCACTGTATCAGCCACCGGATCCAAGCCATTGGGCATGTGGCTGTCCCCCGAGCGCAGGATAGGGTCAAAGAGCACCCTTTAGCAGCAGCAGAGGTCACTTGCCAAGCACAGGGCTCGTAACGGGCAACTACATGCGCTGGACGGTAGAGAACAGCACTTCCTGGACTGGAAATGAGCAGAAAGAAGGAAGCTCCGCAGAGCTCTCAGCTCTTCCAGACATATCTTTGCTATCCACCCTGCCCCAGACCTCCCAGATGTTAGGCAGCCTCTGCTGCAAACTGTCAAAGCAGCCCCAGCACTATGCCTGCAAGGCAATCAGCAAGCCAAGCGCGCGGCAGTGAAGCTCACTGCCTCCAGATGGTTCACAGCTGTTCTTGGCAAGCAAGGGAACGTTCTGAGTCAGGCACTGGAGAGCCAAGGGGGAATATAACTCCTCTCCCTTCAGGCCCTTGGACATTCTCTTCCCCAGCAACTGCAGGCGAGTTAGGTCACCCACACAGGGACCTGGGCCATGTGCCTTACCAACCCCGTTGGCAAGAAAGATAGATTAAGTAACATCACCGCTCCAGTATGACCCTCAGGCTTCCAAGCACTTACAGCTACTACCGGATATGGCGCTGTGAGGACATCTGCTCTCCAGAAGCACTGTTGTCTTCTTCTCGGTCACTTCCACCTTGGATGGGGACCTTGATGGTGAATCTGCTTGCACAAGAAGACAGAGATACAAGATTAGCACCAAGCAGACACGAAGCCTGGGCAAGGTCACCATCTTATGAAGTGAAAGTCACACTGCCTCGAGCACGTGCAGTGAGCCTGCAGTGCCTGGTGGCTTCCTCGTAGCAAGGAAACAGTAAGGCGCCTTCTGGGTTATGACACATTAAGGACCCCAGCACAAGGCCCCGTTCCTGCTGCTCCCCAGACCCATCCCACAGAGCAGCCAGCACCATGTTCACCAGGTTCTCGGACTGCCAGCACCAACAACCGTTACTCAGCAGCCTCAGCGCGCTTTCAGCCCGCAGGCAGTACACAGAGCACAAGTGCTTCAGAGCAGCAGCACACTGAGTAAGAGCAGCACAGCACTTAGCGCAGCAGCTAAGCAGAGCGGCTCTGCAGCAGCGTATACAAAATGAGAACGAGGGCCTCCTGCCACCACGGGCTGTCAGAGAAGCTCCCCCTTTCACGGTTCTCCCTAGACATCGTGCTACAACAACGATGCTCACGGGCCAATCCAGAGGGCAGAAGTACTGCCCACCCAAGCACTGCTTAAGAGGTGAGTCAGCAGCAACCACATCACACAACGGCGATGCAGTCTGGCTACTGCCCGAGCAGGTAGTCTTGGGCAATCCCCAGCCGATTCGGTGCCCACCAGAGGCAGCACCTGGGCAAGATGCCTGTTCTAGGGCAACCTTACCCAGTTTGCAGCCTGCCTTGGGCCGGGACTGAACTGTGGTAATCACGATGGTGCCATCAGGCACGATGGTCTGGTCCATCTTGACCTTCCTGGTGGAGGTGATGCTCATATGTAGAGATGAGGCATGCTGAGCAGAGAGCTGAGGCATGCAGGAGACTCCCGGTACAGCAGCTGCCCAGAGTAAACCCGAAGCCCCATGAGACTTTCCTCCTCCCAGGAGGAAAGGCAGGCAGGACGGATGGCAAGAGCTACTGCTCAGGGCTTTCAGTACTGCTGCAAGCCACGATGCACCTTAGTCTCAGCCTCCTAAGCCTGCCCTTTCTGAATGCCTGAGAAAGTCTCAAAGCCACGGCAGCAAAGACTCCAGTGAGCGGCCGTACCGGAGTGGTGCCATGGGCCCAGGCAGCCCACGTGCTCAGGCAGGAAGATTCTTGCAGCCCTTTCTCACACCAGGGAGGCCAGGCGCCCAGAAGTCATCCTTACCGGGGTGTCCCTCGAAGGGAGGGACGCTCAGGAACCGCAAGCGAGGCGCGAGGTCACTCGGTGACACCCTCTCCTCAGCCTAGGACAGCCAGTGCCCCGCAGCACCCCTGGGCCTCAGCGCGCTAGTCCCCAGGGAGGGCCTAGCATCGACACGGCCCTGGGGCGTGCGCTGGCAGGGCCCGTACAAGCGGCGCCTCACCTCCAGCGCACTCCTTCCTTCAGCTGCCAGCGACTGCCCCGCTCCCGGCACCAGCGAGCAGACCTGTCTCCCAGATGGCCATTTGACCAGGCAGTCCAGGCCGCAGAGATGTCCAGCCACAGACGACAGCGCAGGAGCATGGGGCATGCTAAAGGGCACAAGGAGCAAGAGCAACATCAAGAGCTGAGCAAAAGAGAGAAAAGAGAGCAACATAGGACGCAAGCGGCAGCCTAAGCAATGATGCAGATGCATCAGATTAGGAAAAAAAAAAAAAAAAAAAAAGACAGACCAAATCAAATGAAGCCAGGTTAGGCACAATTAGACCAATGCAGAAAGAACAATGCTAGCAAAAGTTACTGTGACACTGGTACACAATATGTGATCAAAGAGAGGTATAGATTTCCTCTGTCAAGTTCCTGACACAAATGAAATATCTGAAGCTACACGTTAACTTATGTGCAGAACAACTTTAAAAGTATACAGGAGAAAAAAAAAAGGAAAGAAAAAAGAAGGCGTACACACACAATACAGTACTCACATTCAGCAATTTGCTACAGAGAAAAGCTGAGCTAAAAGTTGAATTCCCCAGACAAGTTTCTTAGCTGCTCACGGGCACCAGGCCCATTTCCAACACCGTGTATATCTCGGATGGCAAAAATAATGCTCACAGGGCCCTGCCAAAATGCTGTCCCAGCTCTGCTCAGAGTTATGTTCCATATCTGCAAAACAAGATTGTAGCAAGGTTAGAAAAATCACATCATTGCAATTTCCATTCCTTCTTTCACAGAAAATTCCTTCCTAATGTTAACTGGTACTCTACAGCAGAGCAGAATATCAGTTAATTCTAGATTAACTTACCCTGCGAAGTCATAGCAAGATCTGACAGTAATGATTTTAAAAGGGCCGGGCAGCCTTTAGTGGATAAAGTATGACTGCATTTATCTTCCTATTGTATTCATGACTGATCTTTGATACAAACTTTCATCTTCTTGAATCATCTTCTCAGAAAGTTTGAACCTGAAGGGATGCCTGGTGCCAAATTGTCCTGACTTTATGACAAAGCACCAAAGTTCTGCATGATTTAGAAAGCAAGTGGCATTTTGCCATTCAAGATCTTTTAGATTTTCTTATGTACCTTTTAGGTAACTACACATGCGCTGCTACCCTTTCTTTCGGACCAGACGGTTTCTCAAGTTGGCAGTGACCGAGTTGGTGGTTGTGCTGCTCTGCCCAGTCGAATCTACCTGCCCCTGGATTGGATGCTTTTGAAGAACATCTGGTTATGGGAGGGTTCTTTCAGGTTTTGCTGATAGGGCAGACGGTCCCTTCTTTTGTAACTCCAGTTTAACTCCCCTTTCAAGGTTCCTTGCTACTCACTTTAAGGGTCCATTTACATTCCTTCTGCCACCCTGGCATTTGGTGTCAGCAACTTTCAGGGTCCAGCGATATTGCTACAAAGGGAACGTTACCCCCCCAAGGTGCCGTAATGGTTTTGAGCCTTCATGTGCTACAGCCACTGTAGCAGGACGGAATTCCTTCCAGGGCAAACCAGGATATCAAACTAAACTGATGGAACGGAGTTTCTTCTGTAACACAAGTACTTCCTAGGAGGGAAGGTGTATAGCTGCACAGCACCTAGAGCAAGTTGGGGGAAAAACAAAAATTAATAATAATAAAAAAGGAAAGCAGTTAGTGGATAGAATAGAATTGGTAGTTCCCCAGGGGAGTACTAGCTCTGTATTTCCAGGTGGAGGACATGCAGGAGGAAAGGAGAGAGGTGCTAATAGGGGTGGAGAACTGACACAGGGCTCTGAGGCAGAACTAAGGATCAGGAAGGGGTTCTGAAGAGATTAGAGGGGTCCCACCAAGACTAAAGGGCCCAAACAGAGCTGGAGCACAAAGGGAAGCACTCAAAGAATACTCCAGAGTAAAACAAAGGGGTTCCTCAGGGCTCTACAGGACCCAAAGAAGACTCGGCAGCACAACAAGATTCTACAGGGGAATCTAGTGCAGTTCAAATGCATCTTCTGTAGAGCAGAGAGCAACTAAAAGAAACCCAAGTGCAACGACCAGGTCCTGCCCGGGACAAGGAGCAGCCCGGCCCGCAGCGGGCACCCTGCCCTTCCCTTCCCCTGCCGCTTCAACCCCCGCGCGCGCCCTTTC